TGGGAATTAATGACTGCAGGAACCGGGCAGGACAGAAAACTCAGTCAACAGACCTGTGTGCCTATTACTACACAGTTAAGGTTTTTAATTAAATTACTTTTATTAGTAATGTTGACCCCAGTGTCCTGTTCTCAAATACCACCCAGAGCCTTGGCACATCAGCACCTTGAGGAGCATCCCAGTGTCAGTCAGCAGAGATTAAAGTGGCTGAGGTTATCTCACCTACTGGGCCTTCTCAATGAAGCTGCTTGTCTGACACAAAGTTACAGCTACAGGGATCTACTCCTTCAAACTCCATGCTCTGCTAATTCTCTGCCACATCTCATGACCAAAGTCAGGATTAATCAGATTCTTTTAAATGAACTATAAGAAAAAGGTATGATTTAAAAGTTGGTATCATTAAAGAGGCCAAAGACTACTGGCTGTACACTACCCGAAACAGCAGAAACTTCTGCTAGTAACAGGAATTTTCTTGGGAAAAAACTGCCAAGTAATTGCCCAACACACATAAGCCTCTATAAAGAAACACAAACCCTCTAAGGAACATAAGTGATTGAACTTGGAAGCCTAGTAGCTCATGGGCAGGGAGCTAATCTGCTGCTCAATGGACTCTCGGTAGTTAAAGTGCAGAAACAGGAAACATAAACCAATTTCTTGATAGGCAGAGATATCATTAGCAAATCTGTTATTTATTCCCATTAAAGAAAAGAAAATTTGTTGGACATTCGGTCTACCCATGTAATTAATATGAAGAAATATATTATTATATCCTAAAGGCTGTACCTGTTTGTCTCATGAGGATCCTGGAACTTTCCATATTTTATTCACAGAGAGCCACAGGGAGTGGGTGCACTTAGATAATCATTATTGCCAGATGAGAGACTTTCACATAATTTGTTAGATAAGGAGTTACGGCAGTTAGAAATAAGTAACTCACTAACAAGTAACACACACACGTGCACACGCGCAAACGTGCACACGCGCACACACATACACACACACACACACACACACACACACACACAGAAAATCTTCACTGACTGAGTTCCTATGTTATAGTGACATTACTATAATGTATTTTCCCTGTTGGGAAATGTTTGGGCCATAATGACCAAAACTTTATGTACTAATATTAAATAGAAATCCAGGGACTCCCACAGAGAAAAGTCATTTAAATTATGGCTCTGTTCAACATAGTTTAGTGTGCCTCAGATATAGTTGCGAGTTGGTAAAGAGGTGTGAAAAGGTCTTTTCATGCAAGACTTGGTATCTAGTGACAAAATAATGCACTTTGAGTTAAACAATGGCCCAAAAGTTCAATAAACTAACTGACGCATGGTGAGAAGCTCTGGGAGCTGATGCTGGTTCAAGGCTCACTGCATCACACAGCGCATGGCCAGGAGCACAGGAGAGGAGTGCTTTTCAGGTGCAGGGAAAGGAGTGTAAAAAGCACTGATACAGCATAGCCAGCCCTAACCTTCAACACAGACCTTTGACTCTGTGCTTCCTCCTTATGGTACTGTAAGATCTACTCACATGATTGTCACTCAAAGACAGAGAAACCACAAGAGACAAAATACTATTCTTCATTTTCTCCAAAAAATAAAATAAAATCCAGTTGAAAAATAGTGCTTTGATAAATTATTGCTTTAAATATACATAAAATTAGTTCTTAAAGACTGAGAAATTCTAGAGATGAATATAATTCTAAATATCACCTACCCACTCACTCCACTAGGATTAAAAAGAGATCAAACGCTTCACACAGAAAAAATAAAATAAAAATAAAAACCAGGAAGAAAAACAAAGGAAAACACGAAAGTTACACATGGAAAAGTATAATTCAACCTGGAAGTATAAATTCTATACATCTACTACACAGAACGTGATTAATACGCAAAGATGCACACTAAAATTCAGCTCAAACTATATAGAATATTTGTAATATTTTCTAGTTTCTGAGTATGATGGTTGAAAAGCTCTCGATCAGCTGTAAATTTTATTGTAGGACAGGCTCTATTGAAGGCACACATTGCAATTGCTATTTATGATGAGCATGTATTCCATTTCACTTTCTTTTAAGCAGCAAGCAAGCGAGCTATCAGTCTTTTATCTGATGACTTCAAGCATTGGGGTCAACTTTAGAACACTGACATATTTTCAGACTATAGAAAATGCACCAATATCTTGTTTTCCCAAATATTTTCCGAGGAAAAACTCAAATATTTATTCAGTGTAAAATTCACTGTCATATAGAAAGCGAGAACTTACTTACATCTTCAACCAAACTGGCCGAGAGTAGTAGCAATTTTATTGAAGGCCTTTTTTTTTTAATTGAGATAGCACTTCTTTCACAGATCCTGAAATACTTACAAATTTTTGCATTCTACTCCTTTAATGTCAGTCTATTCTAGTTTGAAAGAATATTCCTTATTTTGTTCTACAGCATTTTGTATCTAATAGGTAAAGACCACAATTATATTTTTAATAGTGTCTAATTTCGCTTTACTGCCAATTTTAGAATTATTTAACTGACATATTTCCTTATGAAATTCACTTGGTGCTCATGATAATTTGATGAGACTTGGAAAACTCTGCACCACAAAGTATCCCCAAGTACACTTGTATGTAACTCTATGATTTCTACTAATTACTTATTAAGGATACACAAAAAATTCTACTCTTTTCAATTTATTTAGCTATGTTATAGCAGTAAAAATATACTGAAGCACACATCTGGCTACTACAATTATAATTTTTTTCTTAGAAAATCTTATCTATTTAAGGAAACTTGTAAAACATTGGTGATAAGAATTTTTAACCTTCTGATGACACTAATGTAAGTTCATGTGTTTAGTATAACCTTGTTAAATTTATAATACCTGTTGAAGTTTCAATTATTAAAGCATTAGTCTACTTATATTTTAGTGTATTTTGTCTTTATGTCAAGAATAAACATTGGATATTATACAATGTCCTTGTAACTTTGTAAGTTATAACTATATACCAAGATACTTTCTCTCATTTACATATTAACTGGGAAAGTCAAATATTAAAAGACTTTTAGTATCTAGAATCATTCTTGTATTTCTATAATAAATCCTAGATAATAGTTTTTAAATTACTGTCTCACAACATCTAGAATAGACATTCAATTTTAATTTATTTTTACCCATAATTGTAAGCTTATTTTGTATTTTTTAAAGATTTGCTTATTTTTATTACATGTATGGCCTATATGTATATAACTGCACTGTGCATGTGCCTGGTACCCAGGGGCAAGAAGCTAGCACAGATGGTTGTAAACCACCATGTATGTACTGGCAACCAAACCCAGGTCTCTGCAAGAGCAGCAAGTACTCTTGATAACTAAGCTGTTTTCTCCAGCTCCAGTGAATTTTTAAAATATTTTGTGCTAGATTTGTCCTTTTTTGTTATTAGGGTGAAGTGAGATAAAATAGTACGATTTTCTGTAAGCCAATTTTCCTAAGCACAACTAGAAGTAAAAAAAAAAAAACAGACAATTCTTTTCTTTAAAGACATCACAATTCATACTCCACAGTATTGGGGCACGCTTTTAATTCCAGTAATTGGGATACTAGGCAGTAGTGGGGCACTCCCTTAATCCCAGATATAGGGGGGCAGAGGCAAGCAGATTTCCATGAGTTCAAGGCCAGCCTGGTCTACAGAGCTTATTCCAGGACATCCAGGGCTAGTGCTATGAGCATGGAGTACTAAAAAGAATAAAACTACAGAAAAGGCAGACCATTTTTAATCTGAGGATCATCACCTGTCCTTAGCAACACTGGCCAAACTCCAGCACAGGCAATAAACAAAAAACCAGAATTAGGTCCCAGGGTCCCAGGGAGAGAATAGTTATTACAGATTTAAAACAATTTTTCTTACTTTCAAAGGACTAGAGTGCTAAATTAGAGATCTGAGAACCAAATTTTCCATTACGACATTTGTTGAATTCTAAACCTTAATGACTCAGGAAAATAAAGGTTTATGCCAAAACCTCTGAAAGGTAGAGTGAGATTATCCAAAGTGTCACAGTAACTCAGACATAGGGACTCAGCTCAAGACAAATATATAAGAATATCAGGTAGACTGTTTTTAAATATATTCCTGTTGCAGTAACAAAACATGGCAGACCAGGCAGTTTATAAACAACTAAAATATTGACATCTCATAAACAACAAAACTTTATTTCTCCCATACTGGAACCTGGGAAGTTTAAGGTTCAGATGATAACAGATTTCATGTCTGGTAAGGGTAAGCCTGCTATTACAGGGGTAAATAGGTCCAATATATAAATTTGAGGTGTACACAAACACTCAAAGAGTATAGGAAAAGCAAGTGAGTGGTACACAGACACCAACACCTTACAAATTGGTTTTTTGGTTTTCGTTTGTTTGTTTTTTAAAAAAATATTTTTAACTGTGCATCAAACGACTTCTAACTCTCTTTCTAAATATCTACCTGAAGAAGGCAATGTCTAAGAGCAAACAAAAAATACTAGGAAGAATCATGAACCTATCACTAAAAAATCAAACCCATCAATAGGTACATAAATAATAAGTTAATAAACACAACTTTAAATGATTGTGACTAATATAACCAGAAAACAACTACAAACCAGATAAAAAGATAAGAGGTACAACAAAGAGTTTCAAATCATAAAAACAAAAATCAAAGGATGTCCTCAAATTAAAAGAAACAGACTTTAGATGTTAACTAGCAAGTTTCTTTGATATTCTTTACAAGGTATTTGCCATGTCCTATACTAATGACTTTGTACTTAGTTGGAAGACCTGACATCATAGACAAAACACAAAAGTCTTTAAAAACAAAGTATATGGGAGGCCTGAAAACTACTTTACAAATTTATGTATCTACTAGGAGTTCGTAGACATTAAAGAGGCCCCTGGCAGCTTAAATGAGAAGTAAAGATCTTTCTCAAAGCTAGTTTAAAGGAACTAGAAGGGATGGTCACTTACAGGAAGGTGTGTGAACACAGCAAATGTGCTCCGGAGGAAGGCAATGAGGTCAACTAGGTAATCACTAGCTTTGCTTTCTAACTCTCCAGCCATCCAGTCGTAGTCAGCCAGCTGCAGAAACTGGTCAATCTTCTGATTTAAATTTGTATATATCTCTTCTTCAGCCGCATGTCTAGCATCCTGGGAAATAATATTTAAATGTAAACACATTCAGATGCCCAGGATAAAAAAGGCAAACATGTATACCCACCTAGTAACAGAGCTTGGAGAGTCGAATCATATCAGCTTCCAGGAACAACCCAAAGGAACCTTTTCTAATCAGATTTTACATGTACCCACTGTCTCCCTCCCTCTTTCTGAGGGAAGGGTTAAGTGATCTATATGAAAAGCTATCTTTTTCTTCACTAAATAAGGAAAATGTATTTACAAACATCCCCTGGAATCTATTTCCTTTTATTTTCTCATTTATGTCAAAAGGTAAATTTACTCTCAGAAACAGGTTCCATTTTGACTCTTTGTGTGACTCCAAAAAATGTTCCTTTATTTCCAAATTTCCTACATCCCCTGGTTCCTTCAGCTGCTTGTAAATATGCCTATGCTATACATGTATGCTATAAATATACCTATACATTACTTTCACTGGTTAGTGTCAGAACTCTGAGCTTTCTTTATCATAAGGCTCTTTCAAGGACTGATACACATATTCCATAAGATCCTGTTCTATACAGCAGAGTCCTAAAAAGGATGCTGAAAGAGCATCAAAGAGCTCCTAGATCACATAACTTTGTGTTACCCTGTATTCATGTCATACAATAGCTTATTAAATTCTCTAGTAAGTATTTTGAACATATTTTTCTAGGAAAGGTATTATCAGGATAGATGAATATGCAATATAAGCAGAACAATAAGAATTATAATATGAAAAATGCATGAACAACTTGTTACCACATCTGATATTCATCTTCCAGTCTGAGCTTGCTTGATTTCTATTAAAGCTCTACCTAACACTTACCTCCCATGACCTTCACTGTATGGCTTATCCATGGATTGTATTCACTCTAGTCTCAAATCTTCTCAATTTCTCTGAGTGATTTAATTATTATCTATGGTTTCCAGGTCTATCTTCAACACAGATCTACTCCAAATGCATTCTACTTCATGGTTCATGTATCCGATTGCTTCATGGTCACCTTGGACCTCCAGAAATAATGCAGCATAAGACTGAGTTCCGGACTAGGGATTTTCCATACCCTTGTTCTTTTTAGACCAAGGCAAAAATCTAGAAGGAATAACTGGAATCTTTCTTTCACAGTAAGAAACAGAGTTCTGCAACCTCTAATTGCTAAATCTGTCTTTAACTTATTCTTCTCTATATCTTCTCTTTCTTAAATTTTGCATGATTTTGACATTATACAGCTAAAGACAGTATTTATTTACATGACAAATGCTTTAAAATTTATTAACTGACAAAATCATAGATATTTGTCATGTTCAACAAGGTGTTTTGAATGTATAGATATTGTAAATGACATAATGTATACAGTAACATAATGAGATAATTAGCATATACAAATCAAGTTCAGAATGGCATGCATTACCTCAAATATTTGTTATTTTGTGGAGAAATTTAAAAGAGTCTATCAGAAATTTTCAAGATACAATACACTTACTAACTTTAATTATCTGCTGAAGAATGAGCTCTTGAACTGCTTCAAAAATGTTGGGTTCTTTGACCAAAATGGCCTAACCACTATCAAAGTCTTCTGTGACCATGCTTTGCTCTACTTATGAGAGTTCAATTTTTTAGATTCAATATGGAAGTAAGATCATCAATATTTGTCTTACTATGGTTATTTCACTTAACATAATGTCTCCTAGGATTATCCAAGATGCTAAAAATGACCAAAAATTCTTTATTTCATAAGCCAATATACAGGATTCACTTGTGTTTCTATACCACATTTCCCTTTCCATGTATCCACTGATTGATGGTAGGCCCGACTCCCTATCTTGATTATCATGACCAGCACTGCAAGAACATGTAACAGGATTACTATATAATAAAAAATTGTTACTTTTAATTTTTTAAGATGTTCCACACTGCTTTTCTAAGTAGTTAAACTTTACCTCTGTACTGGGAAAAAAAATTGCCAAATCCAGGGTCATCTACATTTCTTCTTAAGTTATCTGCAAAGGGTTGTAGTATTGTACATTTTATTTAGAGTTTATGTTTTCAGTTAGTGTTAGATAGATGTAAGGTGTGCATCTGGAATTCTTGTAGGTTTTGCTGTTTTCACAGATGCCCAGCATCTTTGGTTGAAAAGTAAAATTCCACTCCATTATCTATTACACTGCCTTTACTCTTTCTAGAAGATGAGTTGAATACCAATGCATAGGCCTAGTTTATTCATCTATTGGACCATTTTCTTGCCATCTCGTTTCTGTATCTTCATTTATAGTAAGACATGAACTCAAGTACTCAATCCTCTAACTGTACTTTTTAAAATTGTTGGCCATTCTGTGTGTTTTACCTTTCCAATTTTACTTTAAAGAGCCACAAAATAATTTGCTGAAATGGTGAAAGAGGATGCAGTAAACAGGCATGTGGTTAGGAAAAACCAAGACTGATAACATTGTCCTCCCACTCATAAACGTCAAAAATAGTTAGATCTTTGGTTTCTTTCATCAGAGTTTTTAAATTTTCATCATATAGGAATTGCATTTGCCAGATTAAGTAATTTGTTTTACTTCTTTCTGGTTACTAATATGGAATTTGTAGCTGTTCTTTTGTCAAACTTCAAATTCTAGTTGGTTACTATTAATAGGAAGGAAAGACTGACTTTTATGCTAACCTGTAACCCAAACCTTAATATAACCAGTTCTTTTCATTAGTACATTACTTCATTTAGGATTTTCTACAGTCACTCCTGTTACTTACAAACCCTGAGTTTTATTTCTTTCTTCCTTCTCCACACAGCTTTCCTTGTCATGTGTTGTTAGATGCTGCAGAGGAGTGGTAAAAGAGGGCAGCTCTGTTTCCTTGTTCATGTTCTTTGCAGGAAAACATCTGACCTCTCACCATTAAATATGACACTATCTGTGCAGGATTTATGGGTATTTTTTTAAGGTAGAAGAAGTGTCCCAACCCCAGTCTTGATTCCTGTTTGTTGAGAATTTAGCATAATAAATTCTTCACCTACTGATATACAATGTAACATGAACGGGGGTCTGCTTGTTGTTGGGTTTTTGTCCCACCCTTTACCTCACAACTGTTTAGCTCCAAAGAAAATCACACATAGGTCTCCATAAATTATAAGCCGATTGGCCCATTAGCTCTAGCCTCTCACTGGCTAACTCTCACATCTTGATTAACCCATTTTTTTGATCCATGTTAGCCATGTGGCTCTGTACCTTTTTTCAGTGGGGCAGATCACATCCTGCTGCTTAGGTGGTCTGGGCAGGAGTAGGAGGAATCAACTTCCTCCTTCCCAGAATTCTCCTGTTCTCATTACATCATTTCTACTTCCTTTCTGGTTTTCCCGCCTATATTTCCTGTCTGGCCAATCAGCGTTTATTTATAACATGATTGACAGAATACAGACAATTCTCCCGCAATACAGCTTTTCTTTTTTTAGTTGGCTTGACATGATGACTTCCATTGACTAATGGCTGAATGCTGATGCACATTTGTAGAGGTAAAATGAGTAGCACTTGTCTACAATGTACTTCTACTTTATAAGGAATTTTGTTCATGTTTGTGACCCCCATGAAACTTTCCTATCTTATGTGTGAGTTTGATATTAGGGTAAGCAGACCTCATAAAATGATACTGGTAGGATTCTAAGCTACAATTTTCTAGAAATACATAATAGAAAATGGGTATGGTATCATCCTTAATTTTTTACAGAATTCACCAGTGAACTTAGGACTATCAGGAAAATGTAGACCCTTTAGTAGTTGGGGATTACCGCGAAGAAATGAGGTCACTAGGTGCATAAAGAAGGTATGAGGACTCTGACTCTCTCCTGCATCATTTTTACTTTCTTTCTGGCCACCTTGTGGAGCAGGCAGTTTCTTCCCCACAAATTCTTATCCTATGTATATGTATTGAGCCATACATATACACATATCTAAACATTTATATGTGCAACAACAATGACTAAAGAAGAGAAGGCCATTAATGGGGGGGGGTGCACATGAAGAGATAAAAAGGAGGAACGAGAAGGGAAAATAATATAATAATTACATTTAAAGATTGAAAATAATGCTTCCTTTCTCAGTGAATTATTACTATCATTCAACGCTTCACTCAATTCAAAAACCTTAGAATTACCTAAGAATTTTTACTAAAAAATTTACTAAAAAAAGTTACTAAAAACTTGCCATTTCTGTCTTCAAAACATTCTCCACTTCTAGCTCTACCACTCTACCTGAGCACTACTGTTTATCTGGACTATTTCAATGACATACAACTTGAACCAACATCTTCCACACTTAATTTACAATGACATGACAACCATTATTACATTAAAAGAGAAATCAGATCACCATACCACAGTCCCAATGTAGAAACTTCACATCTAACTTCAGAACAAAAACTACAGTATTTATTATGTCCTGAAGGGCTAGAAAGCAAATAGCCTGTTACCACAGGGACTCTTCACACTTCCACCAGTGATTGCTGGTAAATAGACCACTTACCATCCGTGAATAGGCTAGAATCCACTGCCTTACTATTCCCTTTAATGAAAATGCACATCTATAGAAATCTAAATGATTCTGGATTTGAACATGATGTCGGGTCATCACCACCATCCCAACCCCTAGTTCATGCCATTAGCTAAATCTACTTATCAGCTATCAGTTCATTAGAATATAAGTTCCATAAAATAAAGCAACATTTACATTGTTCAGGCCAATAAGACTACCAGAAGCACACCAGATGCTTTATTAAACCTGTTGGATAGACAACAGACTGAAGGTATCAAATGTATTTATTCTAGTACTCTCTACAGCTCTTTCCAAAAGATAACAGTGTCTGTGTTCCCTGTGCCTCAAAGAAGCTCTAAGTCAACAGACTTTTTCTCTCCTACAAAATTCTCTCCTATCAGATTGTCACACAATAAGTATATAAACAGGACTTATGATAAAGGTAATTAGTAAATAGCTTTGGTCTCTGTTTTAAAACAGACAGAAGAACCTTCTGAGTAGGAAAAGTCAAGTATGCCAGCTGGATTATGTCACTCATGGCAGAAGAAAAAAGAGGGAGCTCTGTCAGAAAACACCTTGCAGACCTTCTGAGTGTGTCTGCCTCTTTTCCAGCATAAAGATTTCCATCTGCAAGGGAAAGGTTTCAGGAAACAGTAGCTTAAGCAAACACACAACATGGAGCTTTCCTAGCTGCCATGTTTACATTGAATTCTGGGTTGGCTCATCTGAAATAGCCCTGGTAAAAGTAAGCTTTCGGCATGCTTTGAGCGATCGATGTTTCTCATAAAAGCGCTTTAAGTATGACCTTTAATGTCCCCTGCACTACTCCTCTGCTCAGTGTTTAACTGGCTGCTCAGCCTCCACAACTTCCTACCTGCTCTTCATTCCCCCTCAGCATTCTAAACACTAGACATGCTGAGAGTGGGAACTCACATACGTACTCCCAACATTAAGAAGGTGGACTAAACAATGAGTTCTAGGATAACCTAGGCTAGCATGTAAAACTCTATCTCAAAAACAAATGAAAACTTCCTTTCTAAAACCCAAAATAACACAGTGTCAAGCATCCTTTAACCGGATTTCAAAACATAATTTGAAAAGTCATTGAAATTTTACAAATGAGACAGGTTGAGAAGAGCATGAGTAGATCCAGCATATTCTCCACCTGGAAGACAGTCTACTGAGTCTCATATGTAATTCAGTAACACCTTATTCTCTGCCTAACATTAAATGATAGTTACTCCTACATTTTCTTTGAAGAAAAGTTTTAGCTTTTATAGTGGAGCACACAGAAACAGTTTACAATAAAGTCTCTACCCATACTTTAAGAATAGCTACTATGTAAGAATCATTTTGGCTCCCACTAAAATGCCTGGGTAAAACCTCTGAAGCTCTCAGAGCACTTATCACATTTTCGTGCCATTCTGAGGGCCTCCTTATTATATAAGTCTTCTCTAAAGAGGCATCAATGTCAATATGTGACAGTGCTCTGTGTCTGTAGTTTTCTCATCTCTGAATTTAATCACTAGCAGATTCAAACTATTCAAGATAAAAAACAGAGCTTGGACTGAACTTGTGCATAGTTATTATAATGCCATAATTTCCTAAACAATATATGTGACAACATTATCATTTACATTGTCAAAAATGTTGCAAGTAATATAGAAATGATCTAAATTCTGGGAGGATGTTTTAGAGATTCACAGTGAGGACCAACTGCCCATGGATATCATGGCTGCTGTAATCAGACATTACTAAACAATATGAAAGGGATGGTATGAATTTAGGATTATTGGTAATGAATTTATCTTATGTAATCTTGCTGGTAATATGAAGAATGCCAGGGTCATCTTGTAAACACTTCACTCAGTCTGGCAGCTATCACAGAGATGGAAGAACTGGGTCATGTTCAACACTGCACATATTTCTAACAATGATGAACAGTTAAATTCTTAACCCTTTCAGAGATTGTAATCACTAAATGGATTAACTCTGATTTCTTCTTTGGCAGCAATTTTTGAGAAATGGTACCCACAAACAGAAAAAGGATAAAAGGATAGAAAAAGAGAAACAACAGGGGACATGGATTATGGTTAAATCTCTTTACTTATTTATCTAATTGTCACCATTTGGGGATTTTTTTAATGTTAGACAACATGTTTTAAAACTACAACAATCATGAAACCAAAAAAAAAAAAAAAAAAACTCAAACCATGCTGAGTATAATGGTGCCAACCTTTAACCTCAGCTACTCAGGAGGAAAGACAAGCAGATCTCTGTGAGTTCAAAGCCAGCCTAGCCTACACAGAAATCAGCCCAGCCAGAGCTATATAACAGGCCTGGTCTCCACTCAGGTTCATCTTTATATCAAACTCAGTATTTCTAATGTTTAATACTGTAACATTTTTCTGACTAAAACCTATGAAAAGTTTCACATGGTAATGTACAACATTTTATCAAGACTCATAGATTTCTTCTAAGAGAAGGTGTTTATGCTCCAGAAACTCACCTACCATTAATCTTTCTTTTGTTTTACAAAGGTGTCATTTTCTCTGATCTAAGGTCAGTGAAAACTAATGCCGTGGACTTGGAAAATAATTAGAAAATGGCTAACTATTTGGAGTAAGGACTTGTCACTTAAAAATTAAGATTTAAAAAGTTAGACATGGAAAGGAGAGAGTTACCAAATACAGAATTTACAGTTGATATTATGTCAGCTATAACCACACTATCTAGACGATGTAGTTGAAATTTTGTGGTCATTTTGGAAAGACACACACACACCACCCTGGCATCTAAATTTGTTTTCCAGAAAAAATAGAGAGCAAACCAAAAGCTCCCTTATTCTAAAACACGTGGTAAATCATCTTGAGGAAATGAAGCCACATATGAAATGGTCCAGACTATGTCCATGGAGTGTGTTCATGACAATTCCCTCTATGCTAACAAATGTGCTCTCACCTTGAAAGTTGTGGTACCATAGAGTTTGGTGGTGTGAACCGTCTCTGGAAGAACATTAGTGATATTGGTGATGAATTCCTCCAAGTATTTACAGGACTTCTCCAAGTGTGTTGTGTTGATGATAATCTGAACAAGCTAGAAAACAAAAGCACATGCAATGCTAACTCACCTGAGACATCAGCAGGGTACTTCACAGATCACCTTACAGGAAGAGTACTCCAAGAAAACATGTCAACCTCCTGGAGCATCTTCAATTTCCCCACTTAAAACACTTGCCACTATGTAGCAAATATGTTCTTTTATTTATTTTTTAAGGTTAAACTAAGATAAAAGCTGCTAGTCCTAGGCCCTACAAAAAATATAATTGGCAAATGAATCAAATAAACAGCCAGTAAAGCAATAAGCATAACTGAAAAGACAACACAAGTTTCAAAATTAGGCCTGAGGAAAGCACACATGTGAGACTACACTGTGAGAAGCCAACAAACCACCTTAGTTCATAAGAGGAGGGACATGAACACAGAAGGCAGAGAAGACAAAATCTCTGAACTTGACAGTTTTCCCAATCTTCTCAATCTGTTTCCTCAGATAAAATGTATGAATAACTTCTAAGCCAGACAGTCACTCTGAACATTACAGTAATTGCTATTGGGAGTGTCTCCCTCTTCTCATACAACAGATCTATGAGGAAGCTCATTCTGAACTAGAGATAGGGCATAGTGGTTGAGTACATGTTTGAAATCATGAGGCCCTGGTTCTGTTCCCAGCATTCACACACACACATTCGCAATCACAAGTACTACTAAATGAAAGTCATCCTCATTCCTCTAGAGATGAAAAAGGAAGAGAAATAAGTAAGAATTTCACACTTTTTTTGTGTACCATCTTTTCAAAACCTGGAGATACAGGTTAAATGAGCATAATAATAATTCCAATGTTACTACAATACAAATAAAAAGAAAGCAACTTTCTCAATTATGTAAGTTAACTGATCAACTCCAGAAAATCAGTTGCCCTCCGATAAACTAAGGATAAGGATGCAGAGAGGGAAATCTGAGAAGCATCACCTTTCATGATAGCCACAAATAGCATAAAATATCTTGGGGGTAACTCTGGCCAAGGAAGTGAAAGATCTATTTGACAAGAACTTTAAGTCTTTGAAGAAAGAAATTGAAGAGGATACCAGAAAATGGAAGGATCTCCCTTGCTCTTGGATTAGGGGGATCAACATAGTAAAAATGGCAATTCTCCCAAAAGCAATCTATAGATTCAATGCAATCCCCATCAAAAGCCCATCAAAATTCTTCACAGACCTTGAGTGGAACTAATATTGAACCAGGTCATCTGACTTTTATCAGAAGTGTAGGATGGTAGCCCTGGAGTGTGGCTTGTTTGTGAGTATTGATTTGCTCTCTGACAAAGGAGGGCAAGGCAAAGGAAGGAAAGAGAAAGGGAGGAAGACAGGAGTTTCCTACTACTTCTTAACTTTGAAACTATTTATATTCCTCATAGTCTATAGGAGAGAAGCTTTCGTTCTCTATTTTATTTTACATTTTTTATAAGAATATGTGTGGTAGCAAGGCTGGGACAGATGGGGAATGTCAGTATAGAGGACTAGGTGACTTTGGGCCTTTTAGTCTAATGAAGCCTACTATTTTGTATATGCTCTAAAGAGCTCAAGTAGACCCAAGTATGGCAAAAATGGCTCTGGCAGACCTTGCCCTTCCTCCATTCCCTCTGCCTGGCTAAACTGTTAGGTTACATTGATAAAGTTAGCACCCTAGGTCTATTCCCTTATTTGGCCACTTCCTCCTCTTGAGGTTGACCACCAACATACAACTATCAAAGTATTTAAGTCCAGAAATCAGAAGCCCCATTTGGCTGACCTATTTAAGATGCCCAATCAAAACAAACCAACTCATCCTAATGTGCGCACAGTTTCCCTTTTTCACTTTAAAAATTGTCACTTGCCTCTTCTTCCTCTTCCAACCTCCCTTCTCCCACCACCCCCATGTTCCCAATTTTGTCAAACAATCTTGTATGTTTCCAATTTCCAGGTGGATCTATATATGTTTTTCTTTGGGTTCACTTTATTACTTAGCTTCTCTAGGATCATGAACTATAGGTTCAATGTCCTTTGCTTATAGCTAGTATCCACATATGAATGAGTTCATATCGTATTCATCTTTTTGGGTCTGTGTTACCTCACTCAGGATAGTGTTTTCTAATTTCATCCATTTGCATGCAAAATTCAAGATGTCATTTTTTACCACTGAGTAGTACTCTAATGTGTAAATGTACCACATTTTCTTTATCCATTCTTTGGTTGAGGGGCATCTAGGCTGTTTCCAGGTTCTGGTTATTACAAATAATGCTGCTATAAACACAGTTGAACAATTGCCTTTGTAGTATGATTGAGTATTTTTTGAGTATATGCCCACAAATGGTATTGCTGAATCCTGAGGTAGGTTGATTCTCAATTTTCTGAGAAACCAGAAAGCTGATTTCCAAAGTGGTTGTACAACTTTGCATTCCCACCAGCAATGGATGAGTGTTCTTACTCCACATCCTCTCCAGCATAAGCTATCATTGCTGTTTTTGATCTTAGCCATTCGGACAGGTGTAAGATGGTATCTCAGAGTTGTTTTGATTTGCATTTCCCTGATGGCTAAGGTTGCTGAAAGAGGGTAGAAGGGGAGGGGTGAGGAGAACTTGAGGGAATGGGATAGTCGAGATGGAGGAAGGACAGAGATGAGAGCAAGGAAAGAGATACCTTGATTGAGTGAGCAATTATAGGGTTAGAAGAAACCTGGCTCTAAAGAAATTCCCAGAATCTACAAGGATGACTCCAGCTAGGACGCTAAGCAATAGAGGAGAGGGGGGTCCAATCTTGACTTGCCCTGCAGTCAGATTGACGAATATCTTAAATATCACCACAGAACCTTCATTCAGGAACTGATGGAAACAGAGGCAGCGACCCACATCAGAGCACTGGACTGAGTTCCCGAGGTCCAGTTGTAGAGTGGGGAGGAATGAGAATAGGAGCAAAGAGGTGAAGACCATGATGGGTACACCCACTGAAACAGTCTACCTAAGCTAGTGGGAGCTCACCAACTCCAGTTGGACTGGGAAAGACCAAGCATGGGCCTAAATCAGTCCCTCTGAGTGTGGTTGACAGTTGCATGGCTGTGGTAGACTGAGGAGCCACTGGCAGTGGTACCAGGATTTATCCCTACTTCATGTACTGGCTTTTTGGGAATCTATTCTCTTTGGGTGGATGCCTTGCTAGGCCTGGATATAGTGGGTAGGGCCTTGGAACTTCCACAGGGTATTGTGCCTTGCCTTTTCTGAGGATTGTATGGGGGTGGGGTGGGAGAGTATGAGAAGGGAGTGGGGGGAGTGAAGTGGGAACTTAGATTGGTATGTATAGAAAAAAGATAGTTTTAATTTTTTAAAAAATAAATATATATAAAAAAATAAAAAAGAAAGAAAATTGTCATTTGCCTATGTGCCAGTCTGTCTCCTCTCTATTCAGAGGAAATCCTTTGTCCCTCTGGGGCAAACAGCCTTCCCTGCATCTTGTTCCTTTCTCTTTTCCCTTGTCCTTTGTCTCCTATCTTGGACTCTTATTCCCTGCCCTTTGTCCCTCTGGGGTGAACAAGTCTCCTTGTGCTGAGAACTTGGTCCTTGGTGTGTCCTGTGGTGGTTCTTTCATGCTCACTTAAAAATTAAAAAGAGTATAGCATGAATAATAAAAACCCAGAGACAGATATTGGTGTTCAATTAGAAAACCAGAAAAGCAAAGCAGTCAAACCACTAGAGAAGTGATGGAGGAAGGTCATTGGCTAATAAAGGAACTGCCCTGGCCCATTTTATTGGTTAGAGGATAGGTGGGAGGAGTAGACAGAACAGAACGCTGGGAGGAAGAGGAAGTGAGGTCAGAGACTCCACAGCTCTCTCGGGAGCAGACGCCTCAGAGAGAGACGCCATGCCCCGCTCCCGGGATGAAGCTCCGACCCAGGATGGACATAGGCTAGAATCTTCCCGGTAAGCGCACCTTGGGGTGCTACACACAGATGATTAGAAATGGGCTAAATTAATATGTGAGAATTAGCCTAGAAGAGAATGGGCCAAGCAGTGTTTAAATGAATACAGTTTGTATGTTGTTATTTCGGGGCATAAGCTAGCCGAGCAGGCAGCCAGGGTGCTGGGGACGCAGCCCTGCCGCCCTTATTACTACAGTATGGCGCCCACGTGGACAACTGCTTCCACATAAAGCCTGAGACAGCTTGGGAAGTAATTCTAGAACAAAATGAAAGCATTGTGCCTGGTTTCTTGGTAGCAGCAATTTCTCGGTTCTACTCTGCTTGCTAGAGGCAAGCAAGCACCTCATCTAAGAGAGGCTTCCTGACTCAGCTTTAGCTTGCAAAGCCTGCAGCTCATTAAGAGGTCCTGCCACGAAACACTTAAACGGTGTTGACGAAAAGCTGAACACATGCTTTTCGGTTTTCAGCCATAACAGGAAAAAAGCTGCGCTGTTTAAAAATGCCGGCTTTCTGGGCCATCCTGCCAGGGCAAACTCTGACTCTTTTACGCAGGCGGCTTGTGCGGTTTGCAAGCACAGACTGCTGAAGCTCGCTTGCTGGCTAAAGCCAGTACCTCAGCCATGAGGCTGGAAAGCTAAGGAATGGACTGGATCTAGCTGGCAAAGCCACGCCTTTAATCCTACTGATATCGCTTGGTAAATTAAAGATTCATGTGGTCAGAAAAAGAGAGATATACAGTAAAGAGAGATTCAAAGACAGAGAAAATTTCTGAATGGTTTAAAGTGTGTTAAAAATATATGCAGACTAAAAGTTGAAGTTCTTAAAGTAAAAAACATAAAAAAAGGAAGAGAGTTGTTGTGTGTGGTAGCACACGCCTTTAATCCCAGTGCCTAGAAGGCAGAGACAAACAGATCTCTGTGAGTTCAAGGTGTGGTAGCATACACCTTTAATCCCGAATGCCTGGGAGGCAGAGACAGGCGAATCTCTGAGAGTTCAAAGACAGCCTGGTCTACAGAGTTACTTCAGGTCAAAGATACAGAGAACCTGTCTCAAAAAGCAAAGAGTTAAAAGTAAAAATAAACAAAATAG